CCCCCCCCACCCCTTATCAGATCTTCTATAATTATAGAATAAGGTGCTTGCGAACTCCCAGGGAGCTGGTTTCCATGGCAATGACAAGCTATTATATTCTAAAGGCCAAGCTGGAGCTCCGCCCCCTCGTCCTCGCCACTGCTGTGCGTCTTGTTATTGCAATGTTCCAAAATAAACTTGCTGCCTAATCGTAAATCCCATATAATTAGAGATGAGCTAATCGTTACCCGCTACCTTGGTGCGGCCCACTCAGCGCGCTCGGCTTCTGGAACAGCGATGCTGACGGACCGTTTGATGTCAGCACAGACCTTCCTCCCTCAGGAACTGGGGGCAGCAGCCGTCCTTGTATGGTTTGGGACCCTCCAACCGGAAAGGCACTCTGAGTTATGGGACCTGCCCCAGCGCTTCAGCAAATGAGAAGGGGAGCTTAAGCAGTGACTGGGCCACGGATTTGTCGCTCTCCAGCTTTTATTAAAGAGGGACTGGGGCAGCTCTTTGGAGAGGGTGTGGAGCCTTTGCTGTTCCAGGTCACAGCTGTGTGTGGCCTGCATGGGGGTGAAGTATGTGACAACCAAGGAAAGGAATTCCCACCTCCTCCCTCCCATCTCTGGACCTGCTCCCCAGCCCCTCTGGGGCAGACTGGGAGTGGATTTTAGGGCGCTCTGTCTTGGGCTGGTGTGTGTCTTGTCCTTGTTCATGAGGGATCACCCGCTGGACTTCAGCAGGGGGACCCCAGCAGGCATTGTGCTTGGTACAGAGGTTCTTGGGAAATTCCACTCTCAGGGAGGCAGATGATGACACGTGGAAAAGAAAAGAGGTGGGGCTGGCAGTGGTAACCACGCTCTGAGCTCTGAGAGGCTGACCCAGGGGGAAAGTTCTAGGCTCCCATCTGGAGACCCCCCCTGAGTACGCTGGCCTGTGTGCCCATATCCAGGGCTGGCAGAAGCTGAGTGGATGACGGCATCCCCACTGTTGGGAGTGCTGTCTGTTTGACTCCCTCTCACTCATGGAGGAAAGAAGAAACTTGAGAGAGAGGGAGAGCATGATGATGGCAGATAAGTGCTCTGGGGAAATCCAAGCAGAGGAGATGTGTTGGAGTGTGTTTGGGGTTTCGGGGTGCTCCTTCTACTATTTGGGCAGAGACTTGAAAGTCAAGAGAAATGATTCCAGTTTTCCTCTTGGGGCAATCTCATTTCACTACATATCCATCATGGACAGCCAGAT